TGAAGCCAGATAAAAATATATATGGGAGCTATATCCAAATCTGAACCGATCTCGATAAAATTTGGCAAAGATACTTCTGAGCTGTATATGATGTATTTCCTTGAATATCGTTGTTACGGAGTGCATATTATGGCTGTGAGTAACAAATACAATAAATCGGATGTACAATATATATGGGAGCTATAGCTATATCTGAACCGATCTTCACCAAATTTGGCATACTACCTTCTAGACTCAATTCGGTAGTAAGTGCAAAATTCCATCCCATTTGGGCAAATGTTAGACGTTTGGTGCACAATAAGAGGTAAATCGGACGAAGTTATATATGGGAGCTATATCCAAATCTGAACCGATTTCGATAAAATTTATCAAAGGTATTTCTGAGCTGCATTTGATACATTTCCCCAAATATTGTTGTTACAGAGTGCATATTACGGCTACGGAGGACAAAAATAACAAATCGGATGAACAATATATATGGGAGCTATAGCTATATCTGAACCGATTTCGATCAAATTTGGCATACTTATTTTCAGGCCTAATTTGATTGTATGTGCAAAATTCCATATTATTCGGGCTGATATTACACGTTTGGTGCACAATAAAAAGCAAATCGGACGAAGATATATATGGGAGCTATATCTAATTTTTTACCGATTATCTCCAATTTCAATAGGGTTCGTCCTTGGGCCAAGCAAATTATTTGTGCAAAATTTCATCTTAATCGGATAATAAATGCGACCTGCAGTTTGTTCAAAAGAATACATGGACAGACGGACGTACAGACGGACTGACATGCTTAAATCAACTCAGAAAGTGATTCTATGGAGATCCTCAAAAGTAACTATGGGTCTATCTCGCTTCATTCTCCATGTTACAAACAAATGCACAAAGACATAATACCCTGACCACCTTGTGGTGTAGGGTATAGAAAATGTGGCTGAAGAATCAGATTAATTTTACATTTCATCGCCTTGAAATTTTGCTCAGACATTATATTACCATCAGTATATTTGGTATTAAAAAGTGAGACATATTGGTCAACGTTTCGATATGGCCACCGTATAGCGATACTTCCTCATTTTCGGTATTTCAAGTGTTTTTACGACAATTTTGAACCAAATTATGTGCAACTTGACATTTAGAGATCTGAGTAAATATAATCTCTTCATTCTAAAACTTTTCAAGATTGCTCCAGTATTTAGTGTAGGCGCCATATTACTGTATCACTTCATTTTCGGAATTTTAAAGATTTCGACGACAATATCAAACCCAAAGATAAGTAATTTTACATTTTGAGTTCTGAGCTGACAGAATTTTTCCTGCAAAATTTTGTGGAGATCGGTAGACTACTATGTATTGGCCATACAAAAAGGCACACCTACATTTTAGACATTTTGGCGAAGATGAGTATATATAGATCCTATATGACGGTACTATTATTTTAAGTTTCTCAGTGGATAAAAACTACAAAAATTGTCAATATAGAACAACCCTTAATCTGTAGAGTCTCATGGGGTTCGATCCCCAAAAACAGAGATTTATTCAAAGGAATCATTGCCTAGCAATTTGGCCTTCATATATATAAACAAGTAAAAAAAAACAGTAAGTTCGGCCGGGCCGAACTTTGAATACCCTCCACCATTTGTAACGAATTAGAAAATTTTCAAAAAAACAAAATCCATTACAAATTCTGTAAAAATCTTTAAAATACCTAATATCGGAAGGTGCCGATACATGGGGGGATATACGATACCAATATAGACGAATCTGTGTCTAGGGGTAAAGTACTCATAAAGAACTCCTTGTGTAGAATTTCAGACAATTCCGTTAAAAAATGTTGCTAAATCATCAAAATACCGAATATGATGGGGGGTACCGTTATATGGAGACCTATATAGATAATTATCTTCCAGGGCATAAAGTACTCACAAGGAACTCCTTGTGTGGATTTTCAGACAATACCATTGGAAAATACGGCGAAACTCTTCAAAATCCGGAATATCGGGGGTACCATTATATGGGGGATATACGATATCGTGGACCTACATCTTTCACCTCTTTTAAGGGATAAAGTACTCACAAGGAACTCATTGTGTGGATTTTCAGACCATTCCATTAGAGAATGTGGCTAAAATCATCAAAATACCGATGAGTTATAAACGGAATGACGAACTTAATATACCCTCCATACTGTGTATGGTGGAGGGTATAAACACAAATTAATGAGTATATGTCGGTTTTGCCGATAGATGTATACCCCCAGCCAATGTACGATTACTTAAAAATATTTTGACTTCTGTTATGATTATTCAAATGTTTAACACCTTATGGAGTAGGTTCCGAATGAATGGGTCAATATTGGCCACTTCCTATCGGACATAAATAAAGTTTGGACTATATTGTTTACTACCTTCACTTTACATATATGATAATTTTTAGAAAATGTTAACGTGCGTAAGCTACCAGACATAGTCGATTGAAGCATTTCATATTCATGATTCATCTAATAGAGAATATTATAGAGAATATTGATATGGCCAATTATAAGAAAATCGAACATTTACATTTACGCAAGTTATGACAGATAAAATTATTGAAAATTGTGAGCGAGGGACCAGAAGGGGTATCATCTGTGCAGCAGATATTGTATTGGCATAAATGTTTGTATGTATGATATTTGAAGAGCTTATTTCGCTTTCTTTTGAGCGTTCAGTTTTTCAAAATCTTGAACCCTATGTAGGGCAGATAGCAAAGAAAATGGTCTGATCTCTATCATCTTTATAACAGATCTTGTGTTAATGGAAATATTGAGATGTACCAAGTCTTGAATGGAATCGGATGTTAATTTCGCTTTTTATGAGCTCTATGGATATTCAAAATGTTAACCCTTTATGGGGGATATACGGGAAGGAGTGGACCGATATTCCCATCTTCTCAACATACATATCTTTTGTTAGTGGAAATAATAATATGTGTGAAATATAAAGAGAACCTGATGCTTATTTCAGATTTTATAAACGTTTTGGTTTTTAAAACTTTGGCCCTTTGTGGGGAAGGTACCAGAAGAAATGGTCCCATATCTACAGTTTTTATAACAGATCCTGTGTAAATAGAAATATTCAGATGTGCCATGTCTGAATGGAAAAGAAATTTAATTTCGCGTTTTATGAGCTCAATGCATATTCAAAATTTCGACCATTTGTAGAGGAGGCACCAGGAGGTACCGGGAGGACTACGCCGATATATTCCATTTAACACTAGATCTTGGATTTATAAAAATATTGGGATGTGTTAAATTTTAAGACAATAGGATTCTAACGTCATATTTTTTAAGAGTTATAATTTAAAAAAAAAAATGTTAGCCTTTGTGGGGGCAGGCACTTGATGGAGTAGATCGATATTATTCATTTCACACCTGACCTAGAACTACTATTAGGATTTGCAAAGATGGAGCAAAATCGGATTATTGCTTCTCTCTATCTGTGCATAAAATATTTTGTTTTGTGTTTTTTTTTTTTTTTTTTGAAAATTTCAACCTTTTTATGAGCAGGTATCAGAAGGTGTAGACCGATGTATTCCACCATGGCTGGGTTGATAAAATTATTGAGATGTGTGAAATTTGAAGATAATCTGACTCTTACATCACATTTTATAAGAGTTGGAATTATTCAAAATGTTCGTCCTTTTTGAGGGAGGTACTTGAGGAAGTGGGTCGATATTATCCATTTTTGGACCGATATTATCCAGACCTAGAACTGACACAAATATCGGATTATAGTTTATTTTTCTGTGCAGAAATACATTTTTTGAATACATTTTCGACCTTTGTGGGGGAGGTCGATATTGTTCATCCCCGAACTCGATCTAATTTTGACAAAAATCAACTGATATATACCCTCTCTAGCCATATCGCTAAGGTAAAAATATTCAAAATTTTGACCCAAAACTTTGAGGTATTTGCACTAATGCAAATATTAGGATTTGTAAAGTTGGAGCAAAATCGGTGTATCCTTTCTGTGCAGTAAATTATTTTCTTTGAAAATGTAAACATTTTGTGGCGGAGCTACTAGAAGTAGTGGACCTATATTGCCGTACTCCAAACTCCACCTTAGATTGGCAATATTATTACAATGTACCAGGGTTTAATCAAATCGGATGCTGCCTTCGAGGGTTGTCATACGCACCAACCAGCCAGACGGATGGACACCTCCAGATCGACTCCAAATGTCCTGAAACGGTTGTGGTCCAAAGGGACCCAGGGTTAAAACCATTATTTCCATGAGGCACAATTTGGCTGTATCAAATGATATATATCCTCTGTAGCCATATTGCTGACGGTATGGAAACACATAGGTTCGCCTGAAAATTTAAGTCAGTCACTTCTAACTCAGTTCTTTTAAATGTATCCAAATGTATGTAAATGACTAAGTATAAGTTGTCCATCTTTAAAGGTGATATTGTGTCCCCATTTCACACCTCAGAACCTCACCTGCAAAGCAGGTGGTTAGACGACGATACACTTAATCTTTTTTTTTACCTCTGAAGTTTCTATTTTTAAATTGCATTGATGGTAAATCAAAGTGAAATCGATTTTTCAAATAGCATCCGACAGATTTCAACTTTGCCCTGCTCCACACTTGCTTTCAAGCTTAAAGACATGAGACGGCAAAACACACACACACACGTACACCGACATTTACACATCAACAAAGATTTGTTGAAATAAGAACAACAACAAAAAAACGGAAACTTTTTTCCTACAACAACAACAAATGAAAATGCTAGTTTCTAATGCATTTTCCATAAACATTCAGACACGGACACACACTCACACACCCATCGAAAATGCCATCTCCTATTATTGTATTCCTCAATAGCCTTACGTGTATATTGTGATACCGAATCGAATCGTAACGAATCGAATCGAATGAATGAAAGTTTTTATCAAGTTTTATTCAAGCGTAAAAAGATTTATTGAGCTGTGAAGTAGTGTTCGGTTGGCCTGGGATTTTTTCCTTTTCTTTCCATGTTCCTTCCTTCCTTGACGTTATCCTTTCGATACAAAAGACTCGCAAGCATTTCGGGCATTCACACATGGGCCTACCTACCTACCTACCAATTCGTGTGTGTGTGCACATTTTGATTCTGGAACCGGAAACATTGAATTATATGTTAGTTTAAGTTTTTAGTTGCTCTGCCATTGTTGTTAGACGTTCCTCTTTTTTGTTACTTCTACAGGGGCCTGCAAGGCGACAACTTGATTACCCCCATCTCCATTGCAGACATTTTATCCACAATTTGTTTCTTTAACTGGTTGCCACCGGTCACAATCATCCAGCCGTGCATTCGTTTGTTTGTTCGTGCGGCTGTGTGTGTTTGCTAGCTGTCGATACCGAACACATGCACGTCCGCACAAATACAAAAATTCTATTATATTAACCACATTGAGGCCCAAACATAGGCATAGAATACCACTGAGCGATACCAATATATCCTCCGATTGCCGGATGACCTGACGTCTACGGTGTTTTGTGGGAAAATTCAAAAGGATAAGTTCTAATGAACGTTTTCCCTCCAAAGTGTTATCCGTACTGGAGCGGAGAGAGAGGGTGAGTGGGAGATAGAGAAGAGATTTAAAGGTTTCGAATTTTTAAATTTAATTTTGGAATTAAGAAAGAACAAATTCACATTCAACTTACTTGTAATACAGATTTTCCACAACATAATCGGAATCCTCACAATTCGTTATGCAATGACCACAAAATGGATGCTTTATAGGCCTCATTGACACAGGGTTGATGAAGCCATGTTCTTCCAGGCAAGCATACTGGGATAGGTTGCAGTATGGTACTGAAATTAGAGAAGGAAGACATTTAAAGGAGGCATATAATTGAAAAAAGTGAATAGAGAAATGTTGTGTTTTTTATCACGGAATTTTGAATGCGGCGAAAGCTTAGAGCTGGGCGGAACCCTACGAATTTGAAAGGCTATCAGATAATACTTAGCGGGTAAAATAGACAATAATTTTACCCTTAACCAATTGGCAAGATACGGGTAAGATGAAAAAACTGCAACCAATTTCAGACTGGTGTCATTTCTAGGCCACTCGTCCGACAGCTCTTTATAAATTATTCCAGTGACAGATTATTACATTATTTACAAGCATACAGAAGCATTTTGGTGAGAATTTTCCAGAAAAACAATTATTCGTGATAGTGTGATTTCTTTATATTTGGCTGAAAAACCACAAGTGGCTATCGTTAGAGCATTCCAGCATTTAAATGTCAATAAATATTTTGTGACTCATACCATCGCTCGTTACCGTGATACTCGTAGCGTAGCCCGACGTCAAGGAAGTGGACGGTAGAAATCAATAACATCAGCAGAAATGGTTCGAAAAGTAAAGAAGCGACATCATCTAAACCCGCGTCGCAGTGGCCGAAAAATGGCTCATGAGCTGAACATATCGCAATACTCCATTCGACAAATATTGAAAAATGAGCTTAGGGTAAAGCCATTAAAATTTCAAAAAGTGCAAGAACTTACACCGCAACAGAAAGAAAATAGACACAAAAGAGCTAAAGAGTTGCTTCGCTTGGACGAAAGTGGTGAACTGCCAAATTTGATTTTCTACGATTCGTTGTCCAGCAGTTTGTAAACAAACAAAATGATCGTATTTACTTCCAAAGAGGTCAGCTGAAAATGTGCACCTTCGGTTGGCCACCAGAACTCAAGCGCCGGCATGGTGTGGGCCGCCATAACGGCCGATGGTCGCTCTCCGTTAGTATAATTCGACCGTGGCATCAGAATAAATGCCGAATATTATCGCGAAAATATTCTGGAGGGTAAATTAAAGCGTTGAGCAAGCAAGCATTTTGGCCACAGACCCTGAACATTCCCACAGGATTCAACCATCAAAATGAGGTTCCTCACTTCATTTCCAGCACACAATGGCCACCAAAATCTCCGGATACCAATCCGTTGGATTATTGAGTCTGGAGTATTTTGGAAAGCAAGGTTGGCACTATAAATATCAAAGTGTGTATCACCTCAAGCTAGCGCTTCGCCGAGAATGGGCCAAAATACCGCGGGGCAACATTTGGGCAGCGTGTGACGGTTTCATTGGCAATTTGAAGGCCATAATTCGTGCCAAAGGTGACCATTTCGGATAAATCTAAACTTATTCTAAAATTTGTTGCTAATTCCGACATTTTTTGCTTTCATTCAATAAAATTTAAAAAAAATGTAAAAACTACGGCGTTGGACTTTGTTGCAGTTTTTTTAGCTTACCCTGTATATGTAATTTTATACCCCCAAAATGTCATCGAAATAATGGTTTTCGACCCTAGGTCTCTATTGACCAAATCTGTTTCTGGACATTTGGAGCCCATTTAGAGGTGTCCATCCGTCTGTCTGGCTGGTGCGCACGATAACTCTCGATTTTATACAAATTTGGCACATCGTAATATTTTTGTCAAAGTTAGGTCGAGTTCGGCGGTAGACAAAATCGGACCCCATCAAAGGTCGAAATTTCCAAAAACGAATATTGTATAGCACATAAAATTAAAGGATGATCAGAATTTGCTCCCACTTTGCAAATCCTATCATTTGCTAGGCCGAGTACAAAAATGGACAATACCGGTCCACTCCATCAATTACCTCCCCCACAAAGGGCCAAAATTTTGAATAATTGCAACTCTTATAAAATGTGATGTAAGAGTCCGATTGTCTTCAATTTTCACACATCCCAATATTTTTATTAACCCAAAGTCGGGTGTAAAGATAGAATATATCGGTACCCTTCTTCTGGTACCTGCCCTACAAAGGGTCAACATTTTTGAATTCTCATGAAGCCAATAAAACGCGAAATTAATCTGTTCTAAAATGGTAGAATTCGGACCATTCCTTTGGTACCGCTCCCATAAAGGGTTCAAATTTTGAATAATTAATGCGACTTTAAAATCCGAATTAAGCATCCTGTTCTCTTCATATTTCATACATCCCATTATTTCTACTAACATAAGATCTGCTGTGGATATGGGATATATCGATTCACTCTTTCTGGTACCTCCCCCCACAAAAGATCAGAATTTTAAATATCTGTGAAGTTCATAAACGCGAAATTATTATACATTACCATCAACACAAGATCGGTTATAAAGATGGTAGAGTTCGGATCATTTCTTCTGGTACCTCCCCACATGGGGTTCAAGCTTTTAAAAACCCAAAATTTCAAACAAAGTAGAAGTAAGCATCCTACTCTTTTCAAATTTCAAACATGCAAAAATTTTTGGTAACACAAGATCTTTTATGAAGATGATATATACCTGCGAACTCCTTCTGGTACCTCACCCACAAAGGTTTACAATTTCCATTACTTTTATCTGTCATAAGTTGCGAATCAGGTCAGCGATTCTTTGCAACTTGCTATATCTAAATATTTATCTCAACTAGAAACCTGAGATGTATATGGAATTTATGATTTCGAATAAAATTGGATATAAATGTTCGGTTTTCTTTTAATTTTGCACATATAAATATTTTATCGGAATTAGATGAAGTATGAAATCGGAATACTCCGGTCAAGTATATCTGGCACCACACGCACATCTCCACATTTTCTAAAAATTGTCACATATATCATATAAATTGAAAAAAAAAATACTCGTTGTGGTCCAAACCTGGCTCGACGCCATTTTTATATCATATTTATTTAGGTCCGATATGAAATGGACAATACTGGTCCATTCCTTCGGAACCTACTCCAAGGAGCGTAAACCATTTGAATAATCATAACAGAAATCAAAATATATTTAAATAATCGAACATTAGCTGAGGATATACATCTGTCGTCAAAACCGACTGATACTTTTTAATTTGTGTATTAAGTATATTGTACCTCTTTGTAGTTTTGAACATGTAGAGAACGAATTTCGAAACATCTCTCTTCTCCACAACAAGAATGGTCCTCATGCAAATTTTTAGCACCCGTACACGTGAAGCATGAATTTTAAAAAATGACCCTTTATAAAACTCCTCGCTTTAATAAAGATCTACTGGCAAAGTCAACTTGTTGATTCTAACTGATTTCACATGGAATTAGTTAATTGGGTTATTTTAATATTATAGAGTCTCACAAACATTCCTCAGATTTTCATTGAGATCTCACCTTTTGGTAAATGATGATATAAATTAATGCAACCACACTTTTTCGCCTGATGAATGTACAGGCAATCGGTAATGCAGCCCGGGTAACTGTGATACGAATAGGTCTTATTGCCAAACACTTTAGCTGGATTCGATTGTAGACATTTTGTTACACTTGAATCCAATCCAATTAGACTGGGATCATTGATGGTCGGTATAATTGTAAATTCCAAATTCAATTGGGTGTTTTCATCGAAAATTGAGTAACGTGGTACTGGAGATATAGTCTCTGGTATGTCTTTGTTATTCAATAGAAATATCTGAAAACGGAAATATATAAAAAGATGGTATAAGTATGTCAAATATATATGATCATATATATGATATGATCGCAATAGGAAAAAAATCTAATTTGAACATTTTTATAACTCGAGTACTCTACTAGAGCAATCAATATAAAAAGTATTTCTGATTTAAAAAATGGAAAAATTATGCAAAATATATCCAAACTCGCTAAGTGTAAGATAATGAAATCTAGAAGCCCACATATGGTACTATACCAAATACCAAACTTCATTAAAGATACTTTACTTACCTGAGCCGGTTTTTTAAATGTTAGAGATAGTCGATACGGCTCGTTGTAAATTTCAATATTTCTCACCATTCTGTGACCCGTTGAACTATAAGCAAAGAAGAAAAATCGATAAGTATAAATAGTCCTTAATAATGAAATAAATATGTCTATTGATATTCTATTAATATATGAGAGATATTATTCTTCAAAATTTCCCATTTTCGCACAAAATCTTATGTTAGTGAAAATATTTGGATATGTGAAGCTAAGAATGATCCGATTCAAACTTTCCAAATTTTGTCCCGGTTCGGGGGGAGATACCAGAAGGAGTGGTCCCACATATTACATCACCACATCAGATACTGTTTTTGTAGAAATAATCGGATGTGTAAAATTTAAATATAATTGGATGCTCAACTCGCATTTTTTGATCATTTTGGTTATCAAAACTTAGACTTTTTGTGAGGGATGTATTAGAAGAAGTGGGTCGATACCTGACATTTTTAAAGATAGAAAGCTTAAATTTTGCACCGATCTGCCTTTCATCTGAAGACAATTCAAGTTCGAAGATGGACTATATCGATCCATGATATCGTATAGATCACATATAACGGTACCCCGATATTCGGTATTATGATGATTTTACCCACATTTTTTAAATGGAATTGTACCCCCTGAAAGAGAATTGTCTATATAGGTCAACGATATCGTGTAGCCCTCATACAATGGTGCCTCCCGATATTGGGTATTTTGATAATTTTAGCTACATTTGTCAATGGAATTGTCTGAAATTCTAAACAAGGAAATTCTACACCCTCAAGGTATCTTACCCCCGAATTGTGTTTAATTTCGTATTTGAAGTTCGTAACGGGTACTACAATCTATGACGGAAAATTGCAGGTCCACGTCTTACTATAGCCTCCATACAACGGTACATCTCTTTATTCGGTATTTTGATGATATTAGCGATATTATTCACCGGAATTGTTTCGAATTTCGTATTTGAAGTTCGGAATCGTTATTATAGCATATGGCAAAATATTTATTATCGAGCACCACGTCTTCGTACAGTCCCCTTATAAAAGTTTTCATAAGAGCGGCATTTTTGGACGAATTTTTTTGAATTTTTTCAATTTCTTTCCGAATGGTGGAGGATATAAATAGTTCAGCGAGGCCGAACTTAGCCGGGTTTTACCTGTTTATCTTCAATATTGCCATAGGCACTATATACATTAAAGAGAAAATTTCCAAAAATTTAGAAGAGGGTCGAACTTGCCCCCTCAAATCATTTTACTCGCGAAACTTTAAAAATGTCGATTCAAGTGTCTTCTCTTTTTAGCTCAAGTTTCAAAACCTGCAGGATTTTTCTGGACTCAAAAGTTAGAAAACGAGTAAAAAAGCTGTAAATTCGGTCTGGTCGATCTTTGAATACCCTCCACCATTTAACTTGGCAATTTTCAAAAAAAAAAAAATAAATAAAATAATAAAAAAAATCCGTTAAAAATTCTGTTAAAATCAAAAAAATACCGACGACGTGGGTCGGCATAGCAACTTTTATCATAAGCCATTACAATATTCAAATACGAAACTTGAGAAAAGCTAAAAGTAGCTAAAATTATCAAAATACCGAATATAGGGAGGTGCCGCTATATGGGGGCTATACGAAGCCATGTACCTGCACAGATAATTTTACTTAAATCACCAAAATACCGAAAAAAGGGAGGTAACATTATATGGGGGCTATACCAAAACGTGGACCAACATGACCTATGTTCAATACCAAAAGTCCTGCAGATATAATATACATTTGAGTAAAATTGTATCAATCTATTTCATTTCGTTCGGAAGCTAGAGTGATTTCCAAAGACAGACCGATGAACGGGAGTCTAAAATGTATATTTCGAGATGTTACAAACGGAATAACAAACTTAATATACCTTCCATACTATGGTGGAGGGTATAAAAATATATTTCGCAATTTTATTGATATATGGAAGTATGGACTAAATTGTGGACACATATATATATACATATATATATATATATATATATATATATATATATATATATATATATATATATATATATATATATATATATATATATATATATATATATATATATATATATATATATATATATATATATATATAATTTTTAGAAATTATCAAACAAAAGAAAAAAGGCAGGGGTTGGGGAAATATTTCAACCCTTTTTGCGATGTCCTGTTAGCTTTGCCGCCATTCAATATTTTGACATAACAAGAAGTTAAAACAAAACAAGTATACCGAAATATATGTTCAAATACATAAGGAAATATTTTCGATCTCCATAAACAGTGTCCATCACTGTATGTCACTATTTTAAATGGCTCATATGATAAATTGCTTTGTTATACTAAATATTACATTTGTTATTCCTTTCATTACGATTTCGTGAGACAGTCGAATGACAGTTGTCTTCTTATGAACGTAAGTAAAATTAACCATAATAAGTCAGAAATACTACAGGGGTAAACCTCTATATTCCTTATTACGTATTTCAAATTTTGTTTATCTGAAATTCAAATTTCTGCACGTCTCACAAAAATGAGTTAAAAGATTAAATCTTCTTGAAATTTAATCTGACAACGTAATGATTTATAGCTGACACTCACACGAAACATTCCGTACAAATGATAAATCCTGGCATTTATGTTGTCACAGTGTAAACGTGTCGGATGTCTTGTGTTCTGATTTAATTCATGTTGAAATTTTTAATTTATTTTTCGTACAGCTTTAGAATTTTATAAAAGGGAAATACTTCATTCAAAATAAAATAATAATTGTCTCATTGAATTGAAGAAACGGATTTGGACGGATGTCAAACATAGTAATATAGGGTCCGTAAAGGAACGATTTTTAAACTAGTGTTCATGTCTCTCAGCAATTGAACATTTTTGAAGACATCACTCAGAATAATTCTCAAAAATATTGGTATGACGCCATACAAAGTCTAATTAGCTCAGAAGTAAAAGCCTCGATAAGTGGGCCTACAATCGATTTCCAGAAGATGCCAGAATAGAACCCTATTGCTTTTGGAGATGATCGCCAAATGTTTAGGGGTTGAAATGGACCAAATACTGAAAAAAGTTCGGATTTTGCAGTAGCTATACAGGTCGCAATTATAGACCAATCGAAATTTCGCGTGTAGATAGAGTTTAGGGCGGGGAAGAAGCCTACCAATTTGGGTGGTCATCGGATAATATTTAGCGTGTAAAATAGACCATATCTTTTGTGTTGAAAAAAATCAAAATTTTTCATTAAACCGTGAATATTTTAAATCCCGGCGAAATCACAAAGCCATCACAAGGTTACTTCTGACCTTTACATTGATGTTAAGATCCAACAAATCGGATATATAGCAAAATATGTGCGATATATATATATATCTATCAAAGAAGATATGCTTGAAAGATCTCTTATATGTCGAGAACGGCTGAACTGATTTCGACAGTTCTCATTAATTCAGAATGGCCTCTTGGCAGGAAAGAAAAAACGTCTAAAAAAATCGCATAAAAATATCTCTCTAAGATGAAAATATTGATTTTGTAAAATTTTCTCATATTTTTTCAATTTTGTCATATTTTTGGCATATTTTCATTTTGAATTAAACATTTGGTAATATTTCTACAGCTAACAAAACTAAGTAGTTAGGATATCAGGATATCATATACAGATCGCATTTATGGTCCGATCCTTACGAAATTTTGCATGGGGATAAGATGAGGGTTAGAATAGAAGTCTACTCTTTTTGGAGATAATCGGCATATATTTAGGGGTTGAAATGGACAAAAAAACTGCAAAATTGTCAGCAAGTCGTAATTATCGCCCGATCCTCACGCGCATTTGATTGGGGGTTACCGGACATTGCAAAAGCCAAGCAGTTTTGGATGGCCATCCAAAAATATTCAATGTGTGAAGGAGTTTGCCAACTTTTGTAGACAAAATACGAAAATGTCCATTCCAGTGACTTTTTGGAGAATTTACAAATACAGGAAAGACGCACTTCTGATTATTTCGTTAATTAAATTGGAAATATATATAAACTGTATCGTTCATTATAGTGTTGTAGGGTATTAAACGGTCGGCCCCGCTCGACTGTAGCCTTTGCTTACTTGTTTTATAATATTTTTACACGCTATTCCAAGACAAATGTTATTTCAAAATAAATTAAACAGGAACATTTTTCAAGTACTTCCTGTCAGAAAATTAAAAATTTTACTCTGCATTCCTATTCAGAAATTCAGAAAATTTGTTTAAAGAATATTTTCTGCTCAAAAAAAATTTAAAATAATAAAAAAATTTTGTAACACAGACTTCCTAGACATTTTTTTTAACTTTTTTAGCTTCCAGACGGATTTTTGCGCTCACAGTGGTCCCAAAAAATTATTATTATTATTATTATTTATTGATTTATTTATTTATTTTTTTTTTTTGCAAAGTTTGTCTAGATTTTCCTCTCCAAAAATATTTAAAAACGACTAAAAAAAAGGCCGGGCCGAACTTTGAATATCCTCCACCATTTGGAACGAATTTGGCAATTTTCGAAAAAAAAGTCCGTTAAAGAATCTGATAATTTTTTAAAAATACCGAATGTAACCGTTACCTAACGGTATATACGACGACGTAGACCAACATAGGCAATTTTTGTCATAAGCCATTACAATGTTTAAATGCGAATCTTGAGAAAAAATCGGTGAATAATGTAGCTAAAATCATCAAAATACCAAATATAGGGGGATACCATTATATGGGGGCTATACCAAAGCGTGGAACTGCATATACAATTTTCTGTCTTAGGCTGTGGTATTCATTACGAATTTCAAATACCAAATTTGAAACAATTCCGGTCAATAATGTCGCCAAAATCATCAGAACACCGAATATCGGGAGGTGCATTTAAAGGGGGGCTATACGAAGATGTGTACCTGCACAGACAATTTTCTGTCATATCCTGTATCCATTGCGAACCTGAAATACCAAATTTGAAACAAATCTGGTGAATAATGTACCATTTTATGGGGACTATACCAAAACGTGGACCTACATATTCCATTTTCAATAC